TTACAGTGGCGAGCAAAAATCCAAAAAATTGGCAGTTTTGCCGAGGGCATATCGTTGCAATGGCGAGTAGTTCCGCCTACAGCGTAAAAAGCGGTGTGTAAAGAACAGGTCGCCATGCAATAAGTACAGCGTCCTGTAATTCATCTATAGGCTTGATAGATTGCTCGTTACTGTATCTCCACGTAAATAGCCTTTTGTAACGCGGTAATAATGCCTTCAGGCGGTTCACACCTTCGAAAGGCCCAGGTTATCAGGACCACTGTGAGCGCCTAATTAGCCCTTGGAATGCGCCCAATCGACGTCTCGCGAGTGAACAACGTCTCTCCTTCCTTCGTTACTCAACAGCGGCACCGAGACGAGGAGGAATCGCTTGGTTTGGAGCCAGGAGGCGTGGTACGAGGCCGTCCCAGGGCAATCCATTCCGCCGCCATGACTGCTATCAACCAATTCATTCAGGATTTCCCAACGGCGCAGAGGGACGAGGTCTGCGATCTCCTCAAGGAAGAGTTTAATATAGAGGTCCATCCCACGACCGCAGGCAGGATCCTGAAAAAGCTCGGCCTCACACGCAAGAGGGTGAACAAGATTAATATTCGGCGTGATGAATCGCTAGTCACAGCGTTCCTGGCCAACATGACCCAGTACTCAGTTGAACAACTTGTCTGCCTTGACGAGAGTGCCGCAAACGAGAGGACTAGCGATCGTAAATATGGCTGGTCCCCACGAGGAGTACCCTGTCGAGTGAGGGCTTTTAATAGGCGGAGCATTCGCTGGAGTATCCTCCCAGCGCTTACGATCGATGGGTGGCTCGATTATGAGATCTTTCAGGGTTCCTTTAACGGAGAGAGATTCCTAGCCTTCGTTGAGAGGCTGTTGGGATAGATGAACGCGTTTCCAGCACCTCGATCGGTATTGATATTAGATAATGCATCGATCTACTACGGCGAACGGATACAGGCTCTCTGCCAGTAACATGGCGTAGTTCTCGCCTACCTACCTCCCTATTCGCCGCATCTGAACCCGATTGAGATGGCCTTTCATGAACTGAAGGAGTGGATGAGGAAGAATCGCGAGATTGGATATGAATATGAAGAGGAATTCGAGGTCTTCCTCTACCTAGCAATGGAGGCAGTCTGTCCTGCGAGGACAGCGAGGAACTACTTCAGAACCTGTGGCTATGGACTACCTACTAGGACTAGGCAGGAGGAACGCGAAGATTAAGAGGAACTAGTCCTGTTGGCAGGAATCGAGGGTTGGGCGTAAGTGTGACTATCGCAGATGGCGAGTGTTAATTAGTGTGTAAACTTAGTGTTGCTAGGCTAGGTCGTTTCCTGTGGAAACCTCGTTTACAGCAAAATTAGGTGAGCAAAAGCTTACCTAGGAAATAACTTAGACCTCGCGCTACAGCCTACTACTTGATCGATCGCTCTGAACACACCATTTCCTGCCTTTTAGCGACGTTGTAACAACTTCGCTTAGCGCCGTTCCGAGGCCGTTACTTTACAGGTAATCCTATAATCGCCGGCGGCACTACCTGTCACGCTAGTAACGCGGTATCCTATTCGAGCAACAACAACAACAATAACAGAGGTCTCAAGGCTCAAGGCTAAGGTCGCTGGTAGCCACCACAGGAGGCTCTTCTAGCTGTAATTCCTCGTTTACGAAGATCTTAAGGTTCTTCTTAATCTTCACGACGAATCCACCACGGATTTCCATGCGTTCCCAGCCTGAATCTGTAATTATTCGAAGGTCTGAGAAACCCCAGCCCTCGCCCTGTAGAATGCCCTTAATCTCGCCGAATTCGGCCGTATAGTTAGGATAGCGCCTACCGAGCCAGTTAAGGTAGATGGCCACGTTATAATCGTCATCGCCAGGCCGGAAAGGTGGGCTAGATTGCTGTTCGCGCTCGGATTTCGCTGTCGCGGCCGCGGCACCTTCGCTACCCTAGAAAAACTGGATGTAAACGCCGCCACTACTGGTAGCGATCTACGCGCTATTCGAGGCCGCCTTACCGGCCTTCTTATTCATGTAGTTAGCCTTATCTTTCATGAGTCTTAGGAGTAACGATCCTAGTATCTCTTCAGCTATTACGGTGCGATTTCGGATCGATTTAAACTAAGAGCTAATCGATGGGGTGTCCAGGCGGAGGTGGCCCTCTTCTGTAGGTAGGCAGGTTCTACCGTAATTAGGACATCGATCGCTCGGGCACATCCACCTAGCGGCTAACTCGTGGACCTGGATATCGCCGGTGGCGACGTTCAGTGGTTCATCCGCCGCGATCGACTGGCGCTGACGCTGAGTAGCGCTTAGTCTCGTTCGCTCCTCATCGCGCCGACGCCTAGCCTATGTTGAATCCTGTGGCCGTGGCGGTGTAACTGGCCTAGCCTCGAACTTGATAGTCAGAGTAATCTAGATAGTGTGCTTCTGTCGCCGCGGTTCCTGTAAGGTCTTCCACCATTGCCTCGCGAACTTCTCGAAATCTCTGTCGTCTTTACAGGTGAATTGGAATAGCCTCTTGTTCGAAATCGTGAGGACTAGTTCACTACTAAGGACAGGAGGTATCAGATGAAATTGGTCAGGTGGAAACTTCGCTTCCAGGCGTCGTTAGTAGGCGTGAGTAAGAAGGTCGATATTAAACAGCTCTGTTCCATCGTCCTCCGTAGAGAGTTCTAAGGACCTTCCCACCATCACAGAGGTGGCGATTTTGAATGAAACCTTGCTCATTTCGAAAGGTTCTATCACTGGAGAGTCTGTTTATCTTGTTCCTGAAGTCCTTTTATAGCGTTTATATTGTTCTATAGCCTCTGGTTGATGGGAGGGCGGAGGAATAGATCCATTTGCACCTCTACTCCGAGGCCGCTTCGAAACCTGGCTACCAGCGCCGATTATCGAGTTATTCTGGTCATCTGGATCGTCCGATAGGTCTAAACTATCGTCTTCATCAAGGATCTGAGACGTGAATAGCCATTGCGAGTTCTGCGAAGTGTGGAATCGCTGTACAGCGCTTTCCTTGAGCGCCGCGCGAGCGATCGATCGCGCCTCGTCAGGCGCAAGTCTACCGAATGTAGGCTGAGATTCGCGCGCCGCGGCCCTCGCAGCGCTAGGAACAGGCGATCGCGCCTAGGTTGAGTCGCGCGAGGTGTTGAACGTTAGCCTGATGCGCTGACTAGGTCTCTCAGGGTTTTCTGTCGTGCTAGGACTAACGGGAATGACAGTTATAGACCTAGGTGGCACTGGAGTGGCCTCTGCCAGCTCCCGAGAGGTCGGAGACAGTGGCCTTGAGGGCGTTGGCGTTGCTATAGGCCGATTTACTCTCGTTGGCGCGGCTGAGGCGCGTGCTTCCAGGAGGCGGCGAGAAGGTGTCGGTTCACGGCGAGGTCGCGCAGACATACTAACATACTCTTGTGTACTACAGGATAGCTATTTACTATGTAAATTATGCTGTTCTAAAGTGCGCAGACCTACACCGCCATATGCGCATATGGCGGTGTAACTCTTGTTGTGCCCTCGGCAAAACTGCCAATTTTTTGGATTTTTGCTCGCCACTGTA